TCCCCCCACCCGCCGACCCCGCGGGCGCTCCTCTCCCTCCGCGCCTCGCTGTCCTCGCGGCCCGGCGCTGGTCCGGCCTCCCGCCCTCGGGTGCTGTCCGACCTCCCGGTGCTGAAGCAGCGTCGCGGACTGGAGCCGGCGCTTCCCCGCGCGGCCGCCCCTGCTGGTGCAGGCTGGGGGACAGCTGCAGCCCCCGCGGCTCCGGGCCGGCCTGGCCTGGCCTGGCAGGGGCCCTGTAGGCGCCGACTGCGCTCGGCATGGCCCGAGATCAGGCAGGAGGGAGGAGAGAGCCAGAAGCGGGGTGGGGGATGCCCCTTTCCCCGGGATGCGCCTCGGTGGCCGCTGGGCCGGGGCGGGCTGGGAGGCGCCAGTGCTCATCTGTGCCGTCCTGGTGGGGCCGGGCGCTGGGGCTCCCCTCCGCAGGCCACCCCAGGTTCACTCGCAGAACCCAGGTGCAGAAGGGAGGCGGCAGGCGCCCCGGTGTCTAGCTGCGGGAGGGGCCCTGCTCCCCAGGGGCCATATGGGGCTCTCTGGTGCTGGGGTCTGGAGCCGTGGGCCTGGCCCCTTCTCGGCAGCTGTGGGGCACCTGGAGGAGCAGCAGGCCCTCGGCGCCCCAGCCCCGGGGCCCCGCAGAGGCCCAGATCCAGGCCTGGGTCAGCCTGTCCTGTGTCCAGGCTCTGAAGCAGGAGCACACGCCGGTGTGGGCAGAGGGCTTTGCTGCAGGGCCGGGAGAGGCCAGGCCAGCCTGGGTCCCCAGCGGCCGTGGGCAGGACCGAGGGCAGCAGGAGCGGCCCCCCACTCTGTCCTGCGGCCACGCTGATGGCCCTCCTCTCTCCTTTCCCGCCTCAGGGTCGCTGGCGGGATGAGAGCCGGGCACCCGGGCGGCAGGCAGGCCACGTGGCTGTGCCCGTGGGCCCAGGCCGCCCAAGCTCCACACACAGCTCAGCGGCCCGTGGCCCCGCCTCAGGGCTGTCACGGGTCCCCGAGGGCGTCCCTGAGGCCGCCAGCTCATGTGTCCCCCAGGTTGCCTCTCTGAAAGTCTGTGTGCCGGCCCTCGGGGCCCTGGGCACTGGGCGGGGGCCCATGTGCCCTCGAAGGACAGTGGCCGGCCTGGTCCAGGCCATGGCCGAGCCCTGCACTTCACAGAGTATGTATGGCCTTCCCAGAGGGTCGCACTGACTGTCCAGGCCAGAGTCCACCTCCCCTCCCCTGATGTCCAGGCGTTCACCGGGGCGACCCGGGGTGACAGGGGTGTGCGGCGGCTCCTGTTGCAGCTGCCACTGCCCGGCTGGTCTCCCGGGGTGGCCAGGAAGTCCTGCAAGGCAGAGGCTGCGGCGCCGGTGGGGGTGGCAAAGCCCCGCCTCCCTGAGGAAGGAGATGGGCTCCCCGCAGCCTCCCAGGCCGCCCCCCCAAGCCGTGGCAGCCGGGTGGCCCTGGCCTCCTGCTGGTGCTGAGCCGTGCTGGGGCCGCTGCAGGAGCCGAGGCGTCCAGTGGCGGGCGGGAGGCTGCGGGG